CTCTCTATCTCTGTGTCTCAAATGAATAAATAAAATCTTAAAAAAATAAAAATAAAAATGCAGACTCTGAAATTGTAGGCAAAATGCTGTGTGCACACTTTAAAAAAAAAAAAAAGGAGCTGCTCTGGGGACCTGCTCTTTGGGACTCTAGCGTATAGTATCTGGAACCTGGCCATCCAGGTAGCACCATGGCGTGGGCACAAGCGTCAAGCTGAAGGCAGTTGTGTTTGTGGCATATGGATGTGCTGCCTCCACCAGGCAGGCCTCCTGGGATGAGAGGGGACCTCAGGATCAGGGACGTCTGAGGTATGAGCTTGAGACATGCAGCTGTTGGAGTGTGTCCTGGGCTGGGTGCATAGAGCGAGGGATAGGGGTGGGCGAGTGTGTCTCTGTGTGACTGTATGAGGGAACGTGGTTCGTCTGTGGGGAATATAGACGAACAGTAATGATAACTTACTCATTCATTCCTTTGTCCAATGTTTACTGAGCACCTACCATGTGCCAGGCACCACCATAGATGCTGGGAACCAAACTGTGCACAAAACAGATGCAGTACCTGCCCTTGGGGAGCTTACCCTCAAGTGTGGGCTTGTAAGAGGCCAGATGGTGACAGATGTTATATAGAAAGTAAAGGAGAGAAGGTTCTGGAGACGGGCAGGGTGCGGTGTGATTTGAGGCAGTCAGGATGGCTTCATTGAGAAGGTAACATCTGAACAGAGACCTGAGAGAAGGCAGGCGCACACTGGGGACCCTCTGGCATCCAGACAGGAAAGAGCAAGAGCAAAGGCCCTGAGGCAGAAGTGTCTGCAGCCTGTTCTGGAGACCATAAAGAGGCCAGTGTGGCCTGAGGTCAGTGAGTGAGCAGGGGAGGAGGCGAGGGCTGACGTCAGAGAAGTAGCCCAGCCTGGGGAGAGAGGGCCTGTAAACCAAGATGATGTCCCTCGCCCTTGCACCTCCTAAGACTGGCCCTGCTGAGAGGCTGTGGAGTAGGGGAGGGGCAGAGTCTGCCTTGGATGTTGACAGAACCCCTCTGGCTGCCTGTGGGAACAGACTGGGAGGGAGGGCAGGGGAGGACGGAAGTGGGAGACCAGTGAGGAAGGATTCTGATCTCAGGGAGAGTCGGGGGGGGGGCGGGGGGGGGATGAAAAGTGGTCAGATCTGCATGGGTTACTGAGCATTTAGCTAGTCGGCCCCCAACAGCCCTAGGAGGCCAGCACTGTTATTATCCCTGTTGCACAGCCTCTTCTGCAGCTCAGAACAGTGAAGTCACTGGCCTGAGGTCACACAGTCAGGCAACAGCAGATCCAGGATTCAAACCCAGCCCCGCTGACGCTGATCCATGTGCTCGGCTATAGCTACTTGTCTCCTGTGGCCCGTGGATGTCCGGGTTTTGAGTGTGGAGGTAGCCTTTGTCAGCATCTACACCAGTGCCTGCACGTAGTAGGGACTCAGAAAATATCTGTGGGGTAGATGGGCAGACTGACGAATCCAACAAATGAACGCGACGAATCCAACAAATGAACGCGCTGCCGTGCCCATTTTGCATAAGGGTATGGAGCGGCAGCTCTCAGGCTCTGGCAAGGTCCAGGGGAGAGGGCTGCATCTGGGGCTGGGTTTCTCCGTGGCATGAATGGGGGCTGGCCCTTGGCTGAGGACTGGGTGACGATGTTGTTGGCCCAGGTTCGCTGGTATATCAGCCGTGGGGGTAGGAGTAAAGGGCTGTGTGGTGTGGGGAGGGGCTTGGGGGAGCTCCTGGAGTTGGCTCCTGCAGGGAGACTGTGCTAGGTTGTCAGCCCTTGGGCTGGGGGACAGGTGCAGGAGGGGTGGTTGTGGCCAGCGGTAGGGGGTGGGGTCAGCGGTGGCCCAGCCTGGTTATGCAGCCGAGTCTGTGCCATGAGGCCCGAGGCGGAGGCCCGGGCTTGGCACAGCCCACACCCCCCCTCCCAGGGCAGCCCAGCCGTCAACCTTCCTCCCCCGCTTCCCGACCTTCCCCTGCCGCCCAGAACCAATGGGTTAATTAGATAACGGAGCCTTTGATTAGCGGGGGAGGGGGAGGCCTCCCAGTGCAGGGATGGGGGGGGTGAGGAGGAGGGAGGAGAGGCGCCCTCCCCGTTCAGAAGGAGAGAAAGAAGGAGGGAGGAGGTAGGGAGGGAGGGAGCTGAGGCACAGCTTGGCTCTGCACTGCCGTGTGACTAGAAATTGTAATCGCGGAGAAAGAGAGAGACAGACAGAGCCTGGCCAAGAGAGAGACCAATACAGACGGACAGACAGACAGAGAATCTGACCAAGACGGTCTCCCCAACCTACGAGAGGGTGATGGGGATGGAGCCAGAGTGAGGAGGAGATGGAGGAGAAGGAGAGAGGGGGCCTGGTCGCCTGGAGGGAGGCGAGACAGTGAGGGGAGCCTGAAGAGGGGGCTGGGGACCAGGAGGTGGACAGGGACAAGGCCGGGGGACCGGCAGAGAGGAGAAGGGGGCTAGGGGCAGTGGGGGGAGAGAAAAGAGGCTGGCGGTGGGGGGAGAGTGGAGGTAGAGGTGGGGGTGGGGGTAGGAGACAGGAGGAGGCCAGCAGGGAGGGGACAGGGAGACGGCTGCAGTGGCCTAGACGGGCCTCCCCGGGG